AGTAGAAAGCAAATGTTTTGAGAATGATGATGGCAACAAATGCACAAATGTGCTTGACACAATGGATGGATGTATGGATTTTGATAGGTGATGTACGAGCCCCTAATAAAATGATTTAGAAAACAAACAAACCAACAAACAAAAGACCTGGTCTGTGATGTTTGGAAGACATGTCACAGAAAAAGCAATGTAAATAACTATTTATATGTAAATGTGGATGATATGTTTTTTTAGTTTCTATTTCTCGGCAAGAATTTTTTTAGATGAAAAAAATATACATAAAAATACACACACCACGCACTGCAATCTATAGCTAATCATAAAGTTGACTGCCTCGAGGCTTCTGTTTGTTGGTTTCTCAGCATATTTGTCAGGTACGTGACCCCAGGTCAGCTTCTGACACATTCGCAGGGAGCAGGTACGATTCCGCCATTAGGGTGGAGAGAACAAAAGAACGAGGCACAAATAACTGCCTGCCTGCTCACCATGTGTTAATAATTGAGACGCCCAGTGCTGTAGTATTGTAGCTGTCCTTGCTTCTTTATAGCCATCCTGTTATAATCTGGATGAAAACTGGAACTCAGTAAGACCTTTGCAATAATTGGATGAAACTCATAGTTTAAAAAAAATAGTAGGGAGGTGGAGAAAAGAAGAAAAAAGCAGTTCCTATTTCCTATTGGTGATGAATCTGAAAGAAGTACAAGCACAGAGGTACTTTAATTTCACCATCCACTTGCTTTTTGTGGTGGCAGTATTGTTAAAGAGCAAACGTCTTCCTACTAGGTGTTTGAAGTTTTCCAAGAAAAAGTGGCATTTCAGCCAGTCTTAGAGCAATGATTAGAATTTGATAAGCAGGAAAAACAGAATTCCTTGTAAACTAGATAAAGTGGAATTTAGCCAGGAGAAATATATGGGTAAAGTATGAAGACTTGAAATCACTTCTGATTTGGGGTGGAAAGTGGATTTATCTACCAAAGTCACATTGTAGGTAAGAAAGAAGAGATGAGATGAAGGCAGGCAATGGGAGGTCTTCTGGCTTTGAAGCTTGGAATCATTCTATGGAAAATGAACACTTACATAATATATAGAATTATGCATAGCTTATTTAAGACTTAATACAACCAGAATAAGTACACGACTTGGAAGGTTACTAAGATAAAATATTAGGAAACATTAAGATTGAGTTAGGAGGGCATTAACAAGAATGGACTAATAGGATATGCTAAGATTACACTTGGGATAGAGGAGTGACTTGAATCAGTGAATGAATGGGTAAACTACTGAGGCTTGCTAGGCAAAATAATCCAATGCCGTCTCTTACATTCTGAACACGTGATTCTGGAGTATATTGGGGATCATTTTGAAAATTCATAGAGGTCAAAAGCAGAGAAATTTACAAGGAAAATACCAAGTTCAGTTTTCAGTGCTACACTGTGCTGTCTTTGGACATTCCAGATGGAATTGTGAATGAATTAGTTAGAAACATGGGTTAACAGCTTATACAAGCAGATAAAGTATGAGATATTTTTTAAAAATCATCTTAATTAAGCAAACGGTTTGAAACATGAATTGATCAAGGAAGACAACAGAGAGAAGGAAACAGAAAAGAGGAAAAAGAAAAACAAGAAGCAACAGGCTGAGTGTTTGGGGTTGAACTGTGTCCCCTCAAAAGGTGTGTTAATTGTAGTAGACCATGATGCTGCGTTTTATGTCATCACCCTCCTTTTAAAAAAATGCAACTGTTTTATTGACATGGGATTCTTATACCACACAATTAAATGGTTTAAATATATTTTAAAGAGTTGTGCATTCATCACCACAATCAATTTTCAGATATTTTCTTTATTCTCGTATCTACTATTATTAGCTGCCCATTTCCCTCCAACCTCGCCTGTCATAACTTTAAGGAGCTATTTCTAGTTACTGTCTCTATAGATTTACTGGGATTTCACATAGATAAAATCATTTGAGAAACATATTAGAAACCTAAAAACAGCAACCACATAAAATACAGAAAAACCTCAATCCAAAAGAAAGGAGAGAATAATAAAAACTAGAGCAAGTTACAAGTGACTCAAAACGGAAAACAAGGGAGATTTTTGAATTTCAACCTAGTTATATTTGCAGCAATGACTTTTCAATGTAGTCTGTCTTAGGAAAAGACAATTCACAAATCTGGTCAATGGTCTGAGGGAGCTTAGATGAGGCTGAACCCATGTGGGGCTCTGTGAGTGGATTTGGGGCTTTCACGGTCATCCAGAGCTTTCCGCACACCAGGTGCTCAGAATTAAACTCTAATACAATTCCTTCCTCTGCTTTCAGATTTTATTACTTACAATCTTTGGGTCACATGTATTACCCTCTATTTTGATCTGACGCAATTATCCTATGCGTTATAAATCCAAACCAATAGGATGTTAATGAGGTAGGGTTAGTGACAGTTATGCTAATGAGGCAGGATTTTGAGCCAATCTCTTAAGAAATGTAAGAGATAAACCAGAAAACTGAGGTCAGAAGGATTCACCACCACCACAAAAGAAGAGCAGGGAGCAGAGTGTGTGTGTCCTTCACACCCTTGGTCTCTCAGTGAGACACTACTAGACCAATGGGAATTTTGATGACAAGGACACTTCCCCCAGCACCGAAGAAATAGAATACAAATCCCTGTAAATGGTGCCATAAATGCAGACTTCTAACTTCTTACATTGTGAAAGAATAAATTCCTCTTTGCTAAAACCATTTACTTGTGGTATTGCTGTTGTAACAGCACAAAAAAATTAAGATGGAAAGGAAAATGAAGATCGAACAATACTAGACAACTAAGACAGGGAAGAAAATAAAGATGGGGAGAGAGAGAGAGGACTAAAGGATAGAAAAGGGAAATATAAAGAAGAAAATCTTAAAGAATAAAGAATGGAAGGCAAGAAAGTCACATGTAGAAGAAATGTATCAGCTGAAGGAAGAAGACCAGGGTTAAAAGAAAAAGAAGAGGAAGAAAAAAAATCAGCGACAATCATTTATTTGTGCGAGATACCTATTCTATTTTTAAAAATGCTTCTTTTGAAAGTTGTATCCAAACAATGTAATCCCAAACAGTAATACTATGAACACATACACAAACACATATCACATTGGATTGCTGAAATAAATAGAAAGGTGAGACCACATTGGGAAGGTAAGGAAACTGCAGTGAACCCGATAATGCATATGAAAATTAGCCTGAAAAACCAGAATCGATAGTGCACTTATATTTGTATCCGCGGTAAACTTGTTGTTGAGGGCACTATCCATCCAACTATTTCGTGCTGGTTTTCATAGCAATACGTGTTCATAACTTTTCTGACCAGTTTGATTTCATATTATGGCACCTGTAAATAGGGTCCTGGCTCACATTTTCCTCTAACCAACTTCCTTCAAGTCGATGCTGACTTATTGCAAGCCTACGCAGGTGTTTGGAGGCTGTCCATGTGGATGGGAACAGATAGTCCCATCTTTCTCCTGTGGATTAGCGGGTGGTTTAGACCACCACGCTTGCGCTTAGCAGTCCAAAACTGACCCAAAGCACCAGCATGGCATCGACTATCTAACGTAGACTTGGGACCAACTGATACACATGTCTGTTTGTACATCATTCTGCTCTTCCTTCCACATCACTGCATATGTTCTTTGTCTTTGCTTCAGTATGTTCATTGCCTTTTAATTTATGTAACTTCTGTGGGCACTATGTATCTCTACAGATGATCTCAAACACAGTTTCAAGCAAAATCGGGAAGGTACTAAGTACAGTAAAGAACTTTTGAGTTTTTTTTTATTTTTAGTTTGAGATCCTACTTAATATGATGGTTAGGCATGTAAGAACTCTAGAATCCCTATGTCACAAAAGTCCCTGATCAAGGCCAAAGTATGTGGTATATCAAAATATCCAATAGGAAAACTAGATACATAAACCTACATATGAGTATATATAATCATACATCATGCTGTGCAAAATAAACCTGCTCTGTAATATGTAACTGATGCTTCCATGGCTCAAATGAAGTCAGGTTTTTAAAATAAAGTATGCCAACTTCACACACACCGTGTACAAACGAGCCAGGAGCGACAGCAGTACTCTTCAACAGTTCAGTTCAGGTAAAATGGAGACAAAACCGATGTCTCTGGTCACTGTGGTTACCTAATCCACCCTAGACTCGACCCACCAGCACAATCCAATAGCTGGCTGACAACAGACCTAGACTCCCTCTATTGCTCTCTGTGCTGCATCTGCATGTGAATATGCACAAACAGATAATGAAACATCAAGCAAATATCAATAGGATTAGCCTGGCATGTAGGAACAAATCTTGATAAATCCGCCTCAGTAACAATATTCTCACTACAAGGCTATGGAAGGAATACAGATTCAGCCTATTGAAGTATTGTTGTGTAGGGAGAGCTATTTTAATAAAATTGCTCCGTCAGTTCCTATTAGTAGGGGACTAAAGCTATTGAGCTGTGGAACTTCGGCCAAGAAAAGGGATTTGGAAATGCAAATTAGAGATAAGGCGGTAATAAATGTCTTTTCCTCAGTAACACTCCACATGTGACACCAGGCGCTATCTTTACGGGGACACTTGCATAGTTCTGTTGAAAGGGACACATACATACCCAAAATGGACATCTCTGGGACGGTAGCATGATAGGGTCCATTAAGAAACTCAGGTGCATTGTCGTTGATGTCTTGCACTTTAATAATAAATTCAGACGGAGGCTCAAGAGGTTTGCTGGTTTCCCAGTCGACCGCCTGCGCCGTGAGGGTGTACTCCGCCTTCTCCTCTCGGTCAAGTCTTTTTATAGCATGGATATCTCCCGTTAGGTCATTTATTTGAAAGATTGTCCCAGCTCCATCACCCGAGAGGATGTACTTGATTTTTTTGCTCCCAGGATCCAGGTCTGTGTGGAGCTGGAATGAAAAGGACTATCCATTAGCCCAGGGGCCACCAGCCAGTGATTGCCTCCACCGCCTCCCCTTCCAATAGCAAACTGTTTCTTTTGACTTTAACTGTTGGCATCGTCCACATCTGCTAACCGTCACTATAGGGGGGGGGAAAGAGTAACTGTGATGTATGCATACCAGTCACTTTAATTTCGGTCAGATGAAATGAAATGCATCTAAATAAATTAGGACACTTTCAAAATGCTCTGAACTGATTAGTAGAAACTGATTTTTTTTTTTTAGAGTGCTAGGGAAAAGAAGGAGGAGGAGGAGAAGGAGAGGCAGAAGCAGCAGCAGAGCATACATATTCACAAACACACATACATGTATCGTTATTGCCTTCAACTTAGGGGTATAGGAATTGAAAGTTATTATTGCTATTGTGTCCCTCACTACCATCAAGTTGATTCTGTCTCACAGTCACTGTGTAGGACAGGGAGAACTGCGAGGCCTGTTTGGGTTTCCAGGACTGTAACTCTTTACAGGAGCAGAAAGTCTTATCTTTCTTCTGCAGAGAGATTGGTAGTTTCAAACTGCCGACCTTGTGGTTAGCAGCCAACGTGTAACCACTACGTCACCAGTTTCATAACTACCTTGGCGAAGTGATTATTTTGGTGCCAAGAGTTACATGACTTCTCATAGGATAAGTCCCTTGATTTATTAACAACATCTTAATGAATTAACTATATCACAGTAGGATATAGGAGAAGGTTGAAGTTCAGCAAGGCAGATACTAAATTCTCCAAGATTCACGTTGGTGGAATCCAGTATGACAGACCCTGAATTCCATTCTGATCTGCCAACTACATTTGTCAACAAAAACCATTCTCTAATCTGAAGTCACATGAAAGTCTTGTGTTTGTGTAGGGTGTTTATGTTCTTTGATTATTTAAACAATTCTTCTAGCCCAGGAAAATAGTCCCAGAATAAGACAAGACTGAGGTCAGAAAAAAACAAAAAAAAAATGTGGGGTGGGTGGGTTGGATTCTGGTAGCTAATTCATTGGATTGCTAATCAAAAGTTGGCAGTTCAAACCTGGGAGCCAGTACACAGGAGCAAGATGAGGCCATCTGTTCCCTTAAAGACTGATGGTCTCAGAAACTTTAAAGAAAGTTTGCTCTATGGGGTCCTAATGAGGCTGAATCCACTCGATGGAAGTGTGTTTGGCTTCATTTGAGACCAAAATATGTGGGCATATTTTCCAGAAATGGTACCTGCCTGAAAAATGACAAATCTGGAACAGGAATCCAGATGCACTGCAGGTCAAGGCAACCAATACCTGAGCAATTACCCTGTCTGAAGGTTTTTGATAGACCTCGTGTCCAAGTTTTCCCAGTTGACGTTCATGAGAGATAGAGGACTATTCTGATACATACTGCTTCTCCTCTATACTTAATTTTAAACAATAAAATTAAAAAGGATATAAGCCTTTTAGTTTTCATTTTTCCAAGAAAAGTCCACTGAATTATAGGTGCTAAACATTGCTTGAATGTGCATATTTCCAGCCTAGCTCAGTTGTATAAATGCCAATACAGTTCCAGTTATTGCACCAAGAAATCTCAAATACCTTTTCCTCTTACAAAAAAAAAACTCTTGTGAAAAAAAGAGCTTGGAAATTCAAAAGACAATGTGTTCTCTTGGGGTTCCTTTTATTCAGAATAGGCTCGTTCCCTTTCTTTGCCAATTTAAATTGTAGTTAGCGCTTCAATAAACGAAAAGAAAGGATTATAAAAAAGACATAAAATAGCAACAAAGAATCCAAATTGCATCTAGATCTCCTGCTTCAGTTTTGAATATTTAAAAAAGTGAAAGCCTAAGATTACATCAAATATTTATTGCATTTCCAAATGTATCCCTTTCATTTATTGTATTAAATTTATTAACAAGAACAAATATTGAAATGCCACTTCATCTAAATTAATGTGGGATTATAATTCATTAATGTGATATTAATCCTAATTTATGATCACTTTAATTTATGTGCATTTTAACATTTCTATTAGCATTTTTATTAAAAAAAGAAAATTTGAATAATATATCATTCATGGAGGTTGCATTATCAGACAGTATTGATATGTGTGACTTGTTGAAAATACCTCTGTGAATTAAAAACATAACCCATTCAAATTGATTTTGTTATTTTTTGTTAGAGCTTATGTAGTTCATATTTTCCTTAAGTTTTACAATAACCTATTTGTTTCTGATCAGTACAGAATGTCATATTCTTATCTAAGATCTTGATGACCCTTTATATTTAAAAATACTTGAAGCAGAAGAATAAAAAAATAACAGATGTTTATAAAATAAAAAACTAGGAGTCAGATCTTTCTAATGAAACAAATTAGGGAAATTCACACATTCATTTGATCCTCAACTCTGTTGTCCATAAAATAGCTATCTTGAAGAGTTGATTTTAGAACATTTAAATATGTATATATTTAAAGGAACTGGAAATAATACTGTATAAAACTAAAAAGTATTTGTATTTCACATTATTTTTAACTACATCTATGCATGGGAAACACTGTGATAATCCCAGGTTCAATGTGAGTTCCAAGGCTCCGTTCAAAGACAGATGTTCCACAGATTGTTGACCTTGTTCTCTGTTATCAAACCAGGAGCCCCTGACTCCTGGTTGTGTACTGCACCATGGGATAAAATGCTGCACACTCCTGCACCATCAGGTGGGAGTCAGACAGTCAGTTGGGTATCAGACAGATGTGATCCAGAGGTTTTCACCGATTAAATTGCCGAAATAGATCACCAGTGCACATAAGTCTTCCTAATGTGTGTAAATCTAGAAGCTCTGCTGAAACCAGATCTGCACCATAGCAACCTACAGCCTCCACTGACATGGTGTAGCTGTACATGAGATACATTGATTAGAGCTCTCGGTTGAAAGATGAGACTTCTACAGCTGAACCACCATTGTTCCCTCCTATAACATATACAACCAAGAAAATTCACGGCCATCAAATCAAAGGAGACTCATAGTAATCCTGTACAAGGTATCTGAGATTGTGAATCTTCATGGCAGCAGGCAGTCTCATCTTTTCCCCGAGGAGCAGCTGATGAGTTTGAAGCAGCAACCTTGTGGTTAGCATCCCCAGGTATATTCCACAACAGCACTAGGGCCCCTTTTAACTCTCTGTGGAAGTAAAACCAATGTAGTATATGCCCTTATAATTTCTCTAAATATTCTTTTCAGTCAATCCATTAAAGTCCAAACCCGTGGGCCATATGCCAAGAATAATCTCTCATCACTGCTTCCTACTATTAATTGTATACTACACATTCACATACATATTTCCACATGGCTTGTACCAGGAAGCAAGCTGACATTCTAGTCAAATTTGTAGCTATGTAAGAATGAAAACAGAAAGACTACAAATGACAGAAAATTCCAGGTCTAAACTGCTGCTTTCTCTATTGGTTTTCACATGAGTCTACCAGACCCACTCATTTCATTGCAGTAAGACCTGCCTCGTCAACTTATTGCATCCATGAGCCTCCATGTGGGAGTATGGAGCTAAGTGCACTCTCCCAAATGCACTACATAGTCACACATTCTGCGTCATCTGGTCACGTGAGGTTCACCTGTCCCAGGGGCTGCTGCTGCATGCTAATTAAATCAGCAGAAAGGCCTTGAGCAAGTTGGCCTGGGGTGGTGAGACTCCTTGGCCTAAGAATGATCCTAAAAAACCTCATCCTTTCGTTTAATAAACAGGTATAGAGCAACACTTAATAAACCGTACAGTGCACTCTCCAAAGTGCTGAAAATCAAGTCATGAACAACACCAATGTGGTTTCTGCTTACAAGGATCCATAGTGTAGTAGGAGAAAAACACAATTAAACAAAATAAATTAGGCCAAGAATAGCTATCATGATTATTATTATAACTCTATTTCTTGGCTACCTAGTTGCTGGTGAACATTTTACACTCATAAATCTTATATAAAACTTAGAACAAACTAGGTAGCATTTCTTCATACTACCAAGAAGAAGATTGAGATTCAGAGATATTTCAGAGACCTTGTCTAGAGATTGATGGGAAATTGGGACTTCAAATGAATTCAGCATAACAGGTTGCTAGGACAGTGAGGGTGCAGGTTACAAACAAAAGAACCAGAAGAACATACAGATTATTTGCACCCTTTAAAATTACTGCCTATGAGTTAGACTTGAAATATGCATCCTTTAAATGTGTAGTTTACTCTTCTTGTGCACTCCAGTACACCTCACAAATGTTGTTCACCAAACACGGAATGACCTGTTTCAGGAAAGAGTGACGTTTCATCATTGCATTTGAGAATTATCACTTGATCTGGGTGCTTTAGATCTAGATCAAGCATCAAAAAGGGATGATCTGATTTGAACAGTTAAAACCATTGTCCTTTGACCACCCCTCTGATACCTCAGGTGGGCCTGCTCAGGTTTTTCAACATGTTCTGTATGTTTCTGTTTTGTTTTCATATTGGGGTTTATTTCTAAATTTTTGTCATTGGGGGTAACCCTCTTGAATTGTTGTCATATGCTTTTCAGTACATGAAACCAGGATTCATGAACTAATAGAGGCAATGAGTAGAGTAAGGGCTCCTGGAGGGCACAGTGAATGGGGGGAGAGGTACAGGAGAGCTGACAAGAAGGATTCCAAGAAGGGAGGGAGTGTTTTGAAACTGACCGCGGCAGCAATTGTACAATACTGCCTGATGTGACTGAATTATGGGATGATAAGATAGCTGTATTAGCTCCTAAAAATCACTTTAAGAAAAATAAATAGTGAGATAAAAGGAATGGAAGCAAAAAGGATAGCATGCTGGTTTATAAAATGTGGAAGATGCCTTAATATGTTACAATGTTATATTACTACCATAAATCTAAATCGAATCCAAATAGAGCTACCTTTCTTCTGGTTATTCATCCTTAACAAAGCTGCAGAAACAAATTACACCTTAAAACCAAAACT